CCCCAAAACCCCAAAACCCCAAAACCCCAAAACCCCAAAACCCCATTATTTATTGTTAAAATTGGAATAAAAGTTTATAAATAAATTCTAATTTCAAATGCAGCAAATGCCTCCGCAACAAATGGGTTCGAGCTATCAGTTCTCAGCCCAGCCTCAAGTCATCAGGACAGGTCAACAAATGAGAAGAGACCCTTACAAAGACTTCATCAAAATTGCTCCCCAAAATATCATGCACGACCGAAGAGTTGTCAGAGGAAATACCTTCGCTGCCATCGTGATCCCAACGAGTCTGCAGCCAGATCCCGTCTTGGCCGAGAAACAGCGAGAACAGCAGCTCGAAAGGAAGTACCGCATGGAGAGACTCCGCAAGAAGCGGGATGAAGAACTCACTCGCAAAAGACTCGAAGACGAAGAGCAGCAGTACGAGCGAGAGCGAGAACTCGAACACCAGAACGACTGGGAAGAGCTCGACGACTTCGAGAACATGGCTGACGAAGCAGAGCTCGAGCCCGACTACTACATCGACAAGCCTCCGACTCCAGTCTTCATGGAGAACGAAAAAGGAGTCGACCAAGAAGTCCAGGTCAACGACAAAGAACTCTACGATTTTGAATTGGAAGTGGAACCCATCCTCCAGGTGTTGATCGGCAAGGCTTGCGAGAACGCCAGAGTCGAAGTCATCGAAGAGTGGGAGAAAGAGCAGCTGCTCGACCACAAGAAGAAGTTCCTCATTATCAAAGAAGCCGAACTCATGGAGACTCAGAGAATGGAAGCAGCCAGAAACCGAAGAAGGAGAGAAGCCGAACGCAGGTATGCCAACTTCAGAACAGCCAAAGGTCAGGTCGGCTGGTCCAACCAGAAAATGTGAGCCAGGTTGATGGCCAAGAAGTTCATGGGACTGTTCAAACGGGACACATTCCAAGAACTCGAAGACGTCGGAATTCTGAGGTCTCCAACTGATCATGCCATGCAGTCAAGGTTCTTGCCAGCTCTGCACAACCAAACCAGAGCTGAACTCATCCGCAACAACGAGTTTACTGAAGGAGTAGACGGCCTCATCATGATGATTCTGAGAGGGAATGCCAGAGAGCATAAGCAGTCGATTCAAAAAGAGTACAAGCGCAGAGAAGAAAAGAAGCGCCTCGAGTTCATTGCACAGAAGAAGAAAGACGAAGAACGCAGAAAGCGCAGAGAACAAAGAGCAGCAGCCAGAGAAAAAGCCAGAGTGCTTGAGCTCCATAAGAAAGTCATCAGTTCCACAATCGAGCCATCCAAAGTGGAAGAGAAGTTCGAGCCAGACAAGATGAAGGTCTTCGATGTCAGAGACCCTGAAGGAACTGGAGATGGCATTTACCTTATCGGTGGAATGGTTGTCGAAATCATGACCACATTTACGTGTTTGCTCGATTACATTCAGGCCAACCCACAAAACCAGAACTTCCGTTTTTCGTATGACTCTTTGATCGAGTACTTGAAGGGCTTGCTGCTTGGTAACAACTTCCCAGATGGAGCCATCACACTGCATGTCAGTGAGAAAGACGAAGAAGATGGAGTCCTTGCAGAAGAACTTGACGAAAAGAAGTTCTTGAGACACTGTTTGAGGCCTTCCACAATCAACGACTACGGCCTCGGGTTCTTCATCGACATCTGCAAAGAGATGGTGATTTCGATCGACTTTATTGACTGATTCTACAGAGCAATCATCAAAATATCGAGGACCCAACCTCAAGAACTGGTCGAGGTTCCGACAATACCAGAAACACAGGAGGATGGCACTCCGCTGTCTGAGGAGGAGAAGCAAACGATAGAGAAGCAGATTCAGGAAGCAAAGACACAGAATGAAGCAATTGAAAAGGAAAACCAGGTGTTGGAGCAACTCAAGTCAAAGATCAAAATTGAATATAGAGACCATGATTACAATGAAAGCAACGAATGTGCATTAATCAAATTATCAAACTTCAGAGAAACCCCAAAAGAGCCTCAGCTAACAGAAAGTCCTAAGAAGCCAAGTGAAAGGCATTTAGATACTAGTGTTAATCAAGATAATTTGGATGATAGCAAAATTGAAAGTGTAAAATCTCAAGAAAAGGAAGAGGGCACTTTTGAAGATGTGCCTACAAAAGTAATCCTTGTTTCTCCTGATCTTGATGACGAACACCGCACTATCATTGTTCATACTGAAGCCCAAATGGGTCTCCGTAAACTTCTGATTGATACTGCTAAAAAGCATTTTAAAGAATTAGAGAAGCTTGATGCTAATTCTGTCTTCACACACTCTAAAAACAAATCAGAACTTCTTGAAGATCGTTTCCTTGACCATGCGAGGAAGAACTTCATGCATGAAAGGTAAGGTTTTGACAAAGTTTCTTTTTTCTCATTATATCCAAGTGAAATATTAAGATTCTTAATTTTGATGAGAAAATGTAACTCATCATTATTCCTCTTCATATGAATAATCTGCTAGTGAAACTCCTCTAGAAAATTATGAACAATTAGGTTTTCATCCTCCAAGTTGATTTGATTTGTTTAATTAAGAATTTAAATTCAAAAGGATTGACTTTAATTTATCAATTCTTATGTTCTTCATGTCATTTTCTTTTTATCAGAGGTTATATTAAGTTGTTTATTCTCAAAACAAAGCCAATACTGCAAACATTGCAAACTCATCCTTTTCAAATCCAAAATTGCTGGCATTACCTTTCTTCTTAATGCATATCTTTGCCTTTGATCTTATTTACAAACCTCTTTTTCTGCAACCTTCCTAATTTTGGTAAAAGAACCGTTATGAATTCCTTCTTTGTTAATTATTAACTAAGGTCTTTTTCTATAGCGCTGCAACTCCAGGAAAGCCAAAGCCAGTGCCCATCTTTGAGTTCCAGAACAACACTCCTCCTGCTCCTGACCAAGAGCCTGCACCAGCTCCTCAGCCAGAGTAATAGAGACATGAGGGTATGTAGAAATGATCTATAAGATTTGAAAGTAAACACCTGCTTTATTTAATATGCTTAGCTTATAAATTTAGCAGATAGGCTTTTAGTTGGCTTTTAAAGAAGGAGAATGCCTTAACCTGTTTATAAATTACTGAACAAAAGGTCAATCTTTAAAGATCAATTCTCCCAAACTATAACGCTTAAGCCTCGACTAGAAACATATTTTTCCTTACTCCCATTTTCCTCAACTCTAAACTCACTAAATACATGTAGATCCCAATTAAATTTCAAGATGAACAAATGAAGAAGGGGTTTTGGGGTTTTGGGGTTTTGGGGTTTTGGGGTTTTGGGGTTTTGGGG